CCTTCTGTTTATGGGAGTCTCATACTCAGAGGCATTAGAGAATTCCACTGCCCTGTGAACTACAACAGTTTGGGGTCGAAGAGGTAGTGTAGTCAAATGAAAGCACTGACTTTCTGAATCCTCCTCTTTCTAAACTCCCCTTTTCTAGAGCTTTATGCTCTGTTGACAGATAAATAAGCAATGTGAGGTTGTTTGAATGTAATAGCTACAGATTAAATAAAAAATGTTTTTCTTTTTGAGACTATGGGTATATTAACCAAAAAGAAAACCCATTGCATTGAGCTGTTTTCTGGAATTCAATAATGGATAGTTAATATATTTAAAATAGGTTAAATGTACTAGCCATCCATTACTGAGTTCCAGAAAAGAGTCGGCTATCCTGCTACCGCATACTTACATGTTTGGCCAAAAAGAAGTTTAGGTAATAGATACTGGGAGGTAAAGGAAAATCAAAGGGTCCAAATCCTAACGTTTGAGACTATCCTAGGTTGGCCTCCCACAGAGGTCCTCAGAGGACAGACAGATGATCTTGAAAGGCATGAAAAGCACAAGCCTGTTCCAAATCCATCCTGTAGAACTGCCAACTCAGTCCAGACATGGAAAATGAATGGGGCCTCACAGGGTCAGTGAGGAAGGCAGCAGATTCTTATAGAGATGGATGGGATCAAGGCCACTTACCTGGTTCAATTACTTGCTAGGATAATTTCCCTGAATTTTATTGGGAATTTTTTTGTTATTGTTGGTGCTGGGGAGTGTATGAGAGCAGGTTGAAGGTGCCAAGGTTTAGCCAAGTGGGCAATATTCTAGAAGCTTGCCATCTGAAAATCTTACATCAGGGTCACAAACTGTCAGCCCAAGGGTCTAATTTGGCCCACAAATGTATTTAACATGGTATTAACTTACAGTGTTTTTAGTATTTTTAAATTAATGGCCAACATTTAACACTGGGATGATTTCACATAAAAATCCAGATTTTTGGCACCAGATATAATGCAGAGTCGTGACTGTCCTGGTCACTGCTGTATACCCAGAGCTTAGGATAGTACCTGGAACATAATAGATGTTCAATAAATGTTTTGTGAATTAATGCTTTTCAAAACAGCCCTGTGAAGTAAAAATTATTATCTCATTTTACAGTAGATAAAAGAAATCTAAGTGGCAAAGTAATTTATCTAAGTTCTCACAGCTGATAAGTACTTGGACTCAGGTGTGTTTGACTTCCAAAGCTATGTTCTGTCCACTATGCTACACTGCCCGGTATCTAACTCAGGAAGACCTTTCATGGTCATGAAAGGCTTTCAATATAGACTCAAAAAAAAAAAACTTTATTGACATATAATTCATATACCATACAATTCACCGATTCTACCACAGGTACTTTCCTTCTGATCCACATAATCCCCACTTTGCTGCTGGTCTGGTCAGGGAGAAGATTCTTGACATGGTTCACAAAGCGATGCGAACTTAGATGGAATGTGTAAACTAATAAATAGAAACATAAATCTGGGTTGAAAAATAGAAAATTTCTCCAGATTCTTACCAAGAGAAGGTCAGCACGGTATTTCTCCCACGTGCTGGACCAAGCAGATGATTCCTTGTATGGCAGGGTAGAGCTCAGTCACTTGTCTAATCAACCGGTGGAGTTAATGAATGTCTGTGGCAGAAGAAAGGGAGAAGAAAGATGAAAGGAGGTGCAGCAAAAAGAAGACACCGGAGACATTTTTTGTGAGGAAAGAGAATCACCAACAAATGCCTCAGCCAGGAAGGACAGTGTCATGGTTTGAATTATGTCCCCCCAAAAATGCGTGTATCAGTTTGGCTGGGCCAGGATTCCCAGAATTGTGTGGTTGTCCTCCATTTTGTGATTGTAATTTTATGGTAAAGAGGATTAGGGTGGGATTGTATAACACCCTTACTAAGGTCTCCAATGTAATGGGAGTTTCCCTGGGGTGTGGCCTGTACTACCTTTTATCTTACAAGAGATAAAAGGAAAGGAAAGCAAGCAGAGAATCGGGGACCTCATACCACCAAGAAAGCAGTGCCAGGAGCAGAGCGCGTCCTTTGGACCCTGGGTCCCTGTGTGGAGAAGCTCCTAGTCTGGGAGAACACAGATGAGAAGGCCAACAGAGAGAGAAAGCTTTCCCTTGGAGCTGACGCCCTGAATTTGGACTTTTAGCCTACTTTACCGTGAAGAAATAAATATCTTTTGTTAAAGCCATCCATTTGTGGTATTTCTGTCATAGCAGCACTAGATGACTAAGACAGAGAGGTAGGACCCTTTATAAAGGATTTGTGGAGCTTCTGGAGTGTTTGTCATTATAATATTTTGTTAATATGAATATATTAGCAAAAGCATAAGGATAAGGAAATGGACACCCAGTTTTTCTATCATGAATTAACAAGTGAACCACTTTGGAAACCAGAGAGGAAAAAGGAGCTGTCATGGACCCAAGCCAAGCTCATTCCTTCCTCCAGCCTTTTCTTGTGCCATTCCCCTCGCCTGGAAGGTTCTCCCACCTCCCCTCTGCCCATCTAAGTCATGTGCAGTCTCTGTGATCCAGCCCAAGTTCCTGTGTCTCCATGACTACTGCAGCACCCACCCTCCCTTCACCACCCTTGAACTCCCACAGCACATCTGCTATGTGCCACACAATTTTCACTAGATTAGGCATATTGTCTTCGGGATGTCCTTGTATGTGTGTCTTATAAAACCCCTTGTAAACTCCTTGAGGACAAGGACCATTTCTTCTTCTGCTGCTGCTGCCACATTTCCCACAATGCTGACGGCCTAATAGACCCTCTGTGTAGCCTTGCTGACTGCTAGCTGAAGAGTTCAGTTCAGCTCTCTTGTTCTTGCCAGCAGTGCAAAGAGAACACAATAAAGTCCTTTCACTATTAAACGACAAATTCAAAGATCAAGGAGCCAAGCAAGTACTCGTATAGAATTATTCATTGTCTCGAATGCCTCATGGTAGCCAAATCCCAGAATCCTCAAGTTCTGTAGCTAGGAAAACAAATTTAATATATGTGATGGTGCTTGTTGGATTAGTATTTCACTTACAACTACCTGCACGGATTACATGAGTCAGGGAGAGGGAAGATTTTCTGTTACACAGTTGACTTTATAACCTCCAAGGTTTTTTTTCCCCTGTGTTTCATAGGTGCTAGAGTTCATAGAAAAAATATTGCATTTTATATTTCTAACTGTAACAGTGCCACCTGAAGAGAGAATGTGATTAAGGGATGAAAAAGGAGGGAGATCCACACCGTCATTATTTTCATCATTGAATGTCCCAAAGTTTTTTAGGGCATAAACAGCAATCAACATTTAGGAAAGAAAAAAATCTGGATTCACACTACTTTGTGTCCTGGGTTCCTTCTTTTCCATGGTGATTTTTGGGGTATCACGTACTTTTATTGCAGAATCCTATCTTATGATACAGATGCAGTTTGCAGTGGTTCCATGATGCCTAAATCTTTTAAGCTTTAAGTACATTGAGGCTCTTGAGCATTGCTGATCAACCTTGTAAAACTGCAGAGATACTTCCCAGGGATCTAAAAGTGTTCACACTCACCCACACAGTACAGAGGGGAAAATGATCAGGCTGGCTTTTTTTTTTTGTAAGAGTCCAGTGACACAGCTTCCACTTTGCCCTGTAGTTAAAAGAACCTGCTCTAGAGCAAGACTAGACTTGTGTTTTAAACAGAAAACATGCTCTGAGCTGTTTCTTTCCTAGACACATGGGATTCTAGTTGGGCTTCAGGGAACTCTGTGTAGCTTGCAAAAGATGCTTGGTCTAACATGAAAGGACAAATATTGTATGATTCCGCCTATATGAAATATCCATTATAGGCAAATTCATAGAGTCATAAAATAGATGAAAGATTACCAGGGGTTGCGGTGAGAGGGAGTTGGGGAGTTATTGCTTAAGGGGTATGGAGTTTCTGTTTGGGATGATGAAAAAATTTTCAGAAATAGATAGTGGTGATGGTTGCACAACATTGTAAATGTAATTAATGTCACTGAATTGTGCATTTAAAATGGTTAAAATGGAAAATTTGTTTTATATATTGTCATGGATTGAACTGTGTCCCCCCAGAAATGTTGGTATCAATTTGGCTAGGTCATGATTCCCAGGGTTGTGTGGTTGTCCTCCATTTTGTGATTGTAATTTTATGTTAAAGAGGATTAGAGTGGAATTGTAACACCACCCTTACTCAGATCACATCCTTGATTCAATGTAAAGGGAGTTTCCCTGGGGTGTGGCCCGCACCACCTTTTATCTCTTGCAAGAGATAAAAGGAAAGGGAAGCAAGCGGAGAATGGGGGACCTCATACCACCAAGAAAGGAGCACCAGCAGCAGAGCACGTCCTTTGGACCCAAGGTTCCTGCACTGAGAAGCTCCCAGACCAAGAGAAGATTGATGACATGGACCTTCCTCCAGAGCTGATGGAGAAAGCATTCCCCTGGAGCTGATGCCCTGAATTTGGACTTGTAGCCTACTAGACTGTGAGAGAATAAACTTCTCTTTGTTAAAGTCATCTACTCATGCTATCTCTGTTAGAGCAGCACTAGATGACTAAGATATATATAGATATAGATATATATTTAAATCAAAATTAAAGGAAAAAAAGATGCTGGGTCTTCGTACTCTAGTAAAATTTAGAACCCCAACTCATACATTTAGTATATGGCCTTTCTGGGGTATGGAAAACTGTTTTATCACCTAATGTGATTATAACAAATCAGTTTTCTTTAACTCTCTGTGTAAACAGTGCACAAAAGAAATCAGGTCTACTATTAAATAGTCTCTTCTTTATAAACATAGTGATTAAAAAGATTGTACAATATTAACTGAAGAGACAGAATGTGGCCAGGTTCACTGTTGCCTGGACCTTGGAGCAAGAGAAGGGTTCAGCCTAGAGATGAGCACTTTTCTTCTAGGGAGGGAGGATGTCACAACATTGTGGAAAAAATCTTCTGAGAAGATTTACCCAGCTAGGGAGCTGAGCTGTCTGGAAATCCAAATGGCCCCATTGCAAGTCTTTTCTCCCGGATGGTGCGTAGATCTTTGACAAGTGATGGATGATCTCTGCCTCTTGATTTCAGGGCCAGGACCAGACTCTGTGACCAGGGATTTGGTGTGCGGGGCCTCACAGGCTGCAGAGAAATATCAACATATGAGTGCATATGCCAAACGTGGTGTCATGTGGCCCACAGACCCAAAAAGAAAGCCTCCTGGGCCATGGTTTGTCAGAACAGCTCTATGAACTACTGGACTAGATAAGAAAATAGAAGCTAAGAGTTTAAGACCTGCCTCCCTTGACCCTGGTCAAAAACCTAATGTGGAGAACACAGCTGAATTGTCCATCCAAGAAGACTTGGGCATCTGTATGGTGACCTTTGGGGTTAGCCTGTGTTTTCTGTATCTCTATTATCATACAGAAGCAGTAACAACTATGGGACAGTCTTGTAGCTATGACTAAAGGGCCTTATTCCTAGAATGTGCTGAGGAGGTGGATTCACTCAGGGTGAACAGCCCTTGAGGACACAGCACTCTCCTCATTCAATTCTGTAAATCAATGTGGTGATGGCCAGGGTCAAGCTTATCCCTAGTTTAAAGAATCCCCATAAGCCTGGGTAGTTCTAATGTCTAATATCTACATTACCTGTATTACCATGGAATACCAAGAGGGATATTCTCCCCATCCCCAAATGAATTCACAGCCTGGGGCAAAAGTACAAATGGAAGCCCACTTATGAAATGTCTAAATATTTGGAAGTTATAAATCAAGCTACTGTTGAATAAAATACATTCTATCATCTACATTGACAAGAAGATTGGACTTGAATTTGGAATTCTCAGACTTTGGAATTCTGAACCAGAACATAGTGGCACAAGGAAAGCTGGCCTGCAGCCCACCCTGCTTCTCTTCCCATACCCAGCTCCATCCCACATTCTCAGGACCCCACACAAACACACGCAAACACTCCAGACTGTATATCCAAGCTCTGTACGCATATCCTGCAAACAACTACCTGTTCATATTCTCTCCATACCATATGAAAGGAGCCCTGGTGGTGCAGTGGTTAAGTGCTGGGCTACTAACTGAAAGGTCCACAGTTTGAACTCACCAGCAGCTCCTCAGCAGAAAGATGTGGCAGTCGGCTTCCATAAAGATTTACAGCCTTGGAAACCCTGTGGGGCAGTTCTACTCTGCCCTGTAGTGTCGCTATGAGTCAGAATAGACTCAACGGCAATGAGTTTTGGATAGAATATATTACAAAATCCTTTAATATAAAGATGTAATCAAAAAGTATACACTCATATGTTTTGGGGGAGAAAGATGTGGCGATCTACTTGTATAAGATAAGGACCCGTAAAATCTGGATCCGTTCTTGGTGGGGTGCTGGGAGTGATGTAATTTGGTAAAATAATCTTACAAATTAATAGGCGTCATTACTCTCAAAATTAGACTGTAATCTGTCTCACATTTACCAAAACCAAACCAAAAACTAAACCCACTGCTGTCAAGTCGATTCCAACTCATAGTGACCCTATAGGACAGAGTAGAACTGCCCCATAGGGTTTCCAAGGAGCATCTGGTGGATTCAAACTGCTGACCTTTTGGTTAGCAGCCGAGGTCTTAACCAAAGCCGAGGCCTATGTCTTTAAGGCCTTAAGCAAGATAATACAGAAATGTATAAAGTAAAACATGAAACATGAATAAAATGAAGCTCTTCTCTGCCAGTAATCCCACTCCTCAGAAGCAAGCCGTCATCAGTTTTTTTTGTTATCTTTACAGGTATTTAATTTGAACATCTTTCCAGATTCGGAACTATAAAGACACAAACACACACACACAAGCATACATGGTTTTAGAGAAACTATATACAGTATAAATATATATAGGTTGTTTTTTTTTAAAAATGGGACAACATATATATTGTTCTGTAATTTGATTTTCTTCAATTTACTATATATTTTGGACATCTTTCATTGTCACTTTTTAAACAACTGATTATTAACAGGCATTTAGTAATTTTCAATTTTGAAATTATAAGCAATGAACATTGGTATATATATATATTTTTGTACACATGGGTGAATTTTTTTATAGGATAGATTCCTAGAAGTAGAATTACTAGGTCAAAGATATTCAATTTTTGATATTCATGAATTGGCATCCAAAAGCCTATTCCAGTGTTTCTCAACCTGGATAGACTTTTGACATTTGGGTTGGGGGGGTGGCTGTACTGTGCCTTGTAGAATATTTACCAGCATCCCTGGCCTCTACCCAGTAGATGCCAGTATCACCCCCCACTATGGTGACAACCAAAACTGTCTCTGGACAAAATCACCCCTAGTTGAGAATGACTACCCTAGAAATTTGTTTTCTTTTATTTCTTTTTCTCCCATCCCCATTTCAACCACTTTTCATGTTATCCTTCCTTCATAAAGGAAAGGTACTTAAAGAAACTTACGATGTAGTATGTCACCTCTACTAGTAAGTTTTAAATAAAAAATGAGTGAAAAAGGCAATGATTAATTGGAAGGAATAACCATCTAATGGTGGGTCTTGGCAGGGGAGATAATTTGGGATACTTTCCAGATAGGCTTCAAGTTATCCTATGTAGATGTGAACATGGTATTGTTCTTTTCAACCTCTTTTCTATACCAACTTCTATGAAGAACAATTGTTAACATCTATAATCTGAATGTCAAGTTCCTTTTTTTTTTTTTATATTTTATTGTACTTCAGGTGAAGGCTTACAGAACAAATAGTTTCTCATGAAACAGTAGTACACATGTTGTTTATGACATTGGTTAACAACCCCACAACATATTAACCCTCTAAATTCTCAACCTTTTTTTTTTTTTTGGTGAAAATACACATAGCCAAAGATACACCATTTCAAAAATTTCTACATACACAGTTCAGTGACATTGACTACGCTCTTCCAACTGTGCTGTTATTCTCACTTAAGATGAAGGCTTACAGAACAAAATAGTTTCTCATTTAACAGTTACTACAAATGTTGCCCTATGACAATGGTTAACAATCTCACAACACATCAACAATATCCTTACTCAACCTTGGGTTCCCTATCACCAGCTTCCTGGTCCCCTTCTGCCTTCTGGCCCTTGTCACTGGACTCCTGTACCTTGTTAGTCTCATTTGGTTTTACGGGGCTGTCCACTCCCAGGCTGAACAGTGAACCTCGGAAGTAACTTCACCACTGAGCTGAAAGGGTATCTGGGGACCATACTCTTGAGGTTTCTCCAGTCTCCTTTAGGCCAGTAAATCTGTCTTTTTTTTTTGTGAGTTAGAATTATGCTCTACATCCTTCTCCAGCTCTGTCCAGAACCCTTTGTTGTGATCCTGGTCAGAGCAGTCAGTGGTGGTAGCCGGGCACCATCTAGCTGTACTGGACTCAGTCCGGTGGAGGCCTTGGTAGCTGTGGACAATTAGTCGTTTGGACTAATCTTTTCCTTGTATCCTGTTCTCTTCATTCTCCCTTGCTCCCAAAGGTATGAGACCAGTGGAGTATCTTAGATGGCCGCTCACAGGCTTTTAAGACCCCAGACACTACTCACCAAGGTAGAATGTAGAGCAGTGTCTTTATAAGCTGTGTCATGCCAATTGAGCTAGATGTTCCCCGAGACCATGGTCCCCACAGCCCTCCGCCCAGCAATTCAGTCCCTCAGGGAGTTTGGATGTGTCTATGGGGCTTCCATGACCTTTCCTTGTACAGGTTGTGCTAGTTTCCCCTGTATTGTGTACTGTCTCACCCTTCACCCAAGATACCACTTATCTATTGCCTATTTAGTATTTCCCCCCCACCCCTCCCATCCCTGGTAACCAACAAAGATTGTTACATTTTGTGTGTGAACTTTTTCATGGGTTTTTACAGTAGAGGTCTCATACAATATTTGTCCTTTTGTGATTGCCTTATTTCACTCAGCATAATGTCCTCCATGATTTTTTTTTTTTTAAGGGAATTTATATTGATTCAAAATAACAGAAAAACAAGTCAAGCAATGATTAAAGATCAGGAAAAATGAGACAAGTTAGTTAGGAAAAGTGAAGTTTATTGTTTAAAAAACACTATATTTTCAAATTGCACAAGCGATATATGTTCCTTATATAAAAGTCAGAACATGCAAATAAGCAAAAAGAAGAAAATAAATATTACCTGGAATCCCATCATCCAGAGATAACTACTGTTAAATACTGTAGTATAAAGATTCTTCAACTTTTTTCCAGTAGATGTATGGATGCATAATATCCATCCATAGACAGATTAATAAACACAAACACACCAACACACATATACATATCCCCCAAATGGGATACTGTAATACTTTTTGGCTTGCTTTTTTGACCACTCAATTATATATTGGGGCTCTGGTGGTGCAGTGGTTAAGCATTTGGCTGCTAACTGAAAGGTCAGCAGTTCTAATCCACCAGCTGCTCCTTGGAAACTCTATGAGGACAGTTCTACTCTGTCTTACCGTGGCTCTATGAGTCGAAATCAACTCGACGGCAACGGGTTTGGGGTTTTTTTGGTTTAATAATATATTAAGAACATTAAATTATATATCTAAAAATGGTTATTAATAGCTGCTTTGGTAATGAGAAATAAATAGAGCCCTAGGAAAAGTGACGAAGTCAAAGATAAGTCAGACTCCAAAATGTGCCTCCCAGTCACAAGGGGAACTAGAGGACAGAGATAGCAACAGGCCTTTTTATTTGAGGAAATCACAAAATACGTTGAAAAAAGAAAAGGATGAGGCCGCCGGAAGGATTGGGAGGATGAGATATTTGTACTGGATGTGGAAAGGACAAACCTACAGCTGTCCTACAACCTGCTGCACACAGCGCCCCCCAGCGTTGCAGGCAGAGATGCACAACTCATTCCCAGCTCATAGCAGCGTGGCAGGATATGCCCACAGTCTACTGAAAACCACTGTCTTTGAAAAGGCAATTAAAGCTCCAAGTGACAAATTTCTTCTTCTTCAACATTTCACCAAGGGATCTCCTTTCAGGCCCTTGCCAGCACACACAGCCTTTGTGTCAGTTAGGAAGAAGGCTCCAGTTCCTGCTGCCCCTGCCTCCAGATGTGGCTGCCCTACACCAGGGACCAGGGCTTGAGAG